CCAGAATTCCACCAGGAGCGTCCTTGGGGTGATGTTTCCGGCGCCCAGTCGCATCGCTGCTGCCATCATAAAATGTTTGGACGGGGATACCCTTTAAGAATTTCAGCAATCGCTTGCTTGCTCCCTTTCTACCCTCAAAGTCCCAATGATAACGGGAGAATTTGATCGCATCCAGGAGCCTCTCTTGTAGGGTGACCTCTGTCTTGTCGGCGCTCACAGGCTCCTCCGGGGGCACAATTCAATTCTACCCACCCACCTGGCACAGCTCTAATACGGCCGAGAATGCTTAACATGCAGAAAGGCGAAAAATCAAGGAAGTGAGGACTCAGGAATCCGCAGATCCAGCTCACCTGCCGAATGACAAGATCTTACCCGCTCCCCATGAAGCCGAGACGATACGATTATTCCAACACACAGCTCAAACTATCGTATGGCTTTTCAAAAAGCACATGTGCCACCCGTCCGACCCCAGCACACCCCACGCTTAAGGAGACAATCTCTAAACACTCCTGTCGAGGAACGACCCGCTCCTTCATGAAAAGTGACAGGTTGTGGAGTCTTTGGCCTCTTTGGTCATCATCCACCTTGAAGTTGCTCATGGACAAGGGGACCCGGTACCGAGCCGCTCGATTCGTTTCTGTCAGGAGGTGCCTCAACGTCTTAAAGAAAACCGCAGCCTCATTTTGGAAATGAAGGTTGCCCAAACTCACACCAACAACACCAAATAGAGCGACACTCCGCGGCGGCGAGCCATCTCCTTCCAGCGCTATTCCCAATGAAATCCTTAGTGATGCCAAATAGACTTCAGTGTCCTGGCTTTCCAAAATGTCACGTGGCACCAGCAGGGGATTGGGCTGCTTGTTTGGGTAGCCTTGAAACTCCTCTGATGTGAGCATCTCCATGTCCGGCCGGGGCAATGTGCACGGGACACCACAACACTCTGAGGATTCGCTGTTCACGTTAGATACGCTAAGCGCAGGCGGCTTTTCAGTAAACGTGGCGATCACAGCAACTCTTTCATTCCCCGCTGCCCTCACAAGGGCACCTCTTCGAAAAAATGGGTTCTTCTCCATTCTGCCATGCTCATCGACATGAAGCAGAAGCTTAACCCCACCATCCCCCAATATACCCTGGATCAATTCCGCATACTCGTCGTTGAGTTTCGTTTCATAGCTCAATCCCCTCCTGCCATAAAGTAGTTGGATATTTCGTGCAACTTGGGCATTAAAGCGATCGTTCTGCCGTGCATATCCTGAGCATAGCGTGCGTTTCAAGCAGTGAATCAGGTAGGCAAAGCCAATTTCCTCAATAGCGGATTCGGACATCTTTTTGAACATCCGATCTGGAATCACGGGTGGCTCGTGATGATTGCTCCCATTATTGTGAAAAGCCAGATATATGTAGTGGGTCATGGTTCTGTCCCGTCGCATCTGTAGAAAAGCAGGCAAGATGCAAGCTGTCTTGCCACTGTGTGTAGGTGCCACAATGAACTTGACTGGTGATCTCTTCGAATGAGAGGCCTGCACCAAGTCATTGCACAAACTTTGTAGTTGCCTGCTTCTGCAGCAAAACGGCAGCTCGTACAGCTTCAGCACTCTGCCGCCAACATCCCGTGTGGGCAAGTGTTTCAGATATTCCTCTATGTCGCCGAAAAGCTTATGCGTCTGGTTTTGTACACGGCCATAGTCTCGAACCACATCGCCTTGTGAGGGCTCGAACCGGCCGGCATGGTGGCTGACCCACGGCGGTGCATGGTTGGTGCTTGCCATGCTGTGCTAGACCTGGTGTGCTGCTCATATATAGTGCTTGAGCTGCACTTTTGTCCTTGAACTCCCCGCATCCTTCTTTTGAAAGCTGACAACCTATCTACGAGCACAAAAGACACGGAACACAGGTGATGTGAAATAGGGATGGCCCAGAGGGCTTGCAGCCTCAGGTAAAGTCGGCTACGCGGGGAAGGTCGACTTGTGCTTGCGATGCTTAGAAAACGTTGCAGATCAACTTGGCACGTAAGACTCAGATGGATCACATGACACATGGTGGCTGACATGGATTGGTAAATGGGGTCGGAGGGGGCAGGGAGGGCTGGTGGTACTAGTACCCAAATGGGCAAGTGTCCTGCTAACTTTGTCAGGGGAGCAGCTTGTGTAGATTCTTCGAACAGGTGTCCATCGCAACCTGGTGACGCAGCTACTGTCAGAATGATCTTTACTGGATCTCCGTTTGGCAAACCAGCTAATACTAGCCACTGACCGGGTGGGCTGCACTGCAAGTCTCTGAGAGTCGTTGCATTTTGCCCACGGCTAAGCTCTTGGCAGCTGACACTTTCATGTCACAATGGCATGGAAGTGGCTGAGCTTGCTCGGCTTTTGCACCGCGTATACAAGCTCACTAAAATCATTGCTAGAGATGTATTGGAACAGATGCGACAAGCACGCAAGACTTCATAGAGAGAATAGAGACAAAGAATGGTGGACATATGCTTCGAAAGCACTGGGGCTTTTTGTTTTGGGCTCAGTTTTGAGGTGTTCAACTGCTATTCATTTGGAGATGCTTGGGTGAAACACTTGGGAACAACACTTCTCTCTAAGGCTACACCTTCGACTTCTCTGAGATCTCTCTCGCTCTCTCTCATGAGAATCACATGTAGGAAGCCATGCGCCAGCAGCCATCTGTACAGATTCAAGGCGCGCTCTTTTAAAGCACACGCTGATTCACTCACTCTCCGTCTCACTCCTTCCTTCTTCCACCCTCTCTTCTGTGAGAGCTGTTGCTCTGTTGTGGATCTTCTTTTCTTGCATTATGTGTGTGCACTTCTTTTTTCTCAAAGGAGAAGAAGGCTTTTTTCTCGATCTTGCACGCTCAATATTTCTATGCCAGGAAGGCCGCAACTCCCGCGCGGATCCACACCTTAAAGGCTGAAGTCTCGAAGAAAGCAGCACAGCGAACATCACAAAAGCTCTGAAATCAGAGGGCTCCTGGCATCTGGATTGTCAACTGTGGGAAGGATCATATCCTAATAGAAAAGCGAATCGCTAACCCTCACATGCCGGCATTCGCAAACAAAAAAATCACTGCACAACTCCATTTCAGTTCTCTCTTTACCAGACTGCTGGGAAGCCTTTGTCAACGACAAGCTCGAAAGGGT